GGCTGTGAGTCACCGGACCCGAAAAACCCGCCTCCAGCCCACGTCTCTCCCCCCGGCTCGAACCTCCCTCAGAAGCGGTAACCCACAATATCAATATATCAAGGACACGTCCATTAAGTTTTATCAATTATATTAAAATCAAAGCAGGAAAAGGTTACAGTTTACAGCGTTTGTCTCTCTGGTCTATGACGCAATAACAAAACCCCGAAGAGCCCCAATGTCCCATGTCATTACTCATTTATAGGGTCCTAGATTCCGCCTTTGCAGAAGGGGATCTCAACCTGCCAGTGTATGAGGGGGCGTGACTAAGTGTGATCTCAATGGATCTTATGTGGTTCTGATGTGTTAGGGAATATGATACGGTGCTTCAAAAGCCTTTGTACGTGATGTAGCAAGCAGAAATAAACTCTGTTCCTTGACGGATATTGAATCCCAGGGAGACTCTTTACAGAGTTGCTGGCCCAGTTTAACCCAGTCAGAACCGGGTCATAATTTCATTATAATCCCGTCTCTGAGCAGATCAAAACCCCAGGACCAGTCTAGAAAAATATCTTAACAACTCCCCTGGTTCAAGGGGCCTGGAGGGTTCCTCGAATAAAAACTCCCAGTTCATTATCACTAGATAAGCAAGCAATTAATCACTTTCCTCTGGTTGAATGTATATTACTTCTTATATGTTGGCGGGAGATGCCTACAGGCTACAGCGTGTGACCTGGCAGCCTCAGGTCAAATAAAATGCCAGAGCTGACGGCTAGCGTGTGACCTGCCTCCCTGAGGTTGCCTGACTCAGCTCTCAACATCTGCCTAGGACTTCAGCATCCCACTGGTGTGGTGAATAGGACATATGGAAATTTCTAACATTTGTCTAGGTCAGAGTTCTAAATATATGATTTAATAATTGTAGGAGGTGTCCTACTGCAAGAAAGCGTTCTTATCTAATAGATGTTAATCAGTTTGTAGAACCTGAACTTCTCTTTTTGACTTCAAGGGCAGGCGTGGTCCATTTTGTCCATCTGGAAAGGAAAAAGAAAAAAACTCTGTTTCCTCTTCCACTTCAATCATGCAGTTTCCACTTTATTTGCACAGAGCGCTGCCGGTATTTTTAGCCTGTCACAGCAGAAAATGTATTTGTGTGAATAAAATCTGATTTAAACAAGTAATGTGTTTTAACATGCATATTGTATGTAAATAACAGAACCTCCCAACCCCCCCTGGTGAGTTAATATAAAAGCATTCCTAATTAACCAAAAAAATCAATTTACCCATTCCACCACCCTTCAATTTAGTCCCAATTTATATTGAAAAATGTCACAAGTTCACCACCTGATAAATCTATATTATAAAACCCCATTTTATGTATTTATCAAAATCCTCTGGTCTCTCGTCATGGCCGTTAGCTGTAATAAAATCATTATTTCATAGAAAACAATATAAAAATTAAGTTTATCATCATAATTGCACCATCTAGTGGCGTTATTCATCATGATCTGCTCTTGAAACTAATTACAAAACAACAAAGTCCATGCTCAATAATCCAGGTATAAAATCTAACATTTTTCAGTCAGGTCATCTGGACAGTTTCTTTTTTTTGTGCTGAAACATTTCGCCTTTGATCCAGAAGGCTTCATCAGTCAAGGAAACACACAACAAAACTGATTCTTCTTCCAACAGCTTACTCCAAAGTGGAACAAACCAGTTATGCTTTTGATTAGATGGTCTCTTTGGTACGCCCCTCCTCCATTGCCAGCCCTCTTCCTTGTTGACAGTCTTGTCAAACTGGTTGAAAACAACAAAGTCCATGCTCAGTAATCCAGGTATAAAAATGTTGGGTCTTTGGGTCATTGTTCACTCCTTCCTTTTTAATCTATTATGCAGTTAATGCCCCTCCACATGCTCCAAGGGTCTTGTGAGGTGAATTGACCCTCGATCCTCTGTGCATATGTGGCCTTGGCCCTCATAATACCAGCAACTAGCTTAAGTGATACACTTTGTAGAAGTTGTTACGTCCACCAAGACACAACTTATTTGAGGACACGAGACAAAATTGAGGGTTCAAAGAAATATTTTATTTTTCAACTCTCCTGATCCTTTGGGTTGGTTCACCTGCTTTTGATTCTCTGTGAAGAGAAAAAAAGAGAGAGTCAAATGCCCTCAATTACCCGTGTTCCAAAAAAAAGAACAAAAACCCCAAAAGTATCAACTGAAAGTTGGACCTGGTGAGTCGATTAAACAGAACAAAACGGTACAGCAGGGGGCCAACCCTATACAGGGCCGTCGAAGCCCCTACTTAGTACCGGACTAGAGAAAAAAACTTTAAATGCAAAAGAAAAATCGAAAACAGGACTACCGATCCCACCAGGCCAAAATCGCAACGAAAAAACAAGCAAACGAACAAGTTCTAGCAGAACTACCTCATGGCAGGCTGGAGACATCAGCTGCGGCCTGCAGCAACTGGAGACGTGTGCGCACCGCGTCAAGACGCACACCAGCGGTGGTGGAGCGAGCGGAAGCGAGTGGGAAACAAAACGGGCTCTCTAACATGTCGAAACACAGCCTATTTATAGGCGGACCAGCAGCGCCATCAATTAACGTAATCACTACTGATTATCAAAGATTAGAATTATCCCATCTCCAAAATATATTAAAAGATCATTCGTTTAAAGTCTATAAACAAAGCAATCAGAAAAAGAGAGAAAAAAATAATTATAATGTGCCCGAAGCACATAACAGAAGTCAAATATCTAGCAAAGTTTTTGATTCTTATATTATATACAATATTCCAGCCGAATTTATTATCCAAAACAATCTCTAAAATGTAACTTTTCTACATTATAGAAAAATCAATAGTTGTTACTTAAAATCATGAATGGTGTCATTCCTGATTATCAATATTTACTTGTATTCACTCATCCATTACACTCTGATACCTCACTGGTTGTTCCATCTGCCCAGTTTAGGTTCTCTATTCTCCTTCTGGTATCTCCTGTAGAGAGAAAAACGGGGTAGGGTGGGGGTGGGGGGTGGGGGTGGGGGGGGGGTGTTGTATACAGCCATCCATCCCTGCTGCAGCACTTTATAGTTAACAGTTCTAAAAAGCATTCACAGTAGTCGTTTCAGTTCAGCACTGCTCCAGAGACCTGTAAAGGGTTAATGTTGTTCAAGACATACAAATCACATCAATTTAATAATCTTCAAAGATAATCTTTGTTTAACCAGTAATTTTTAAGGGACAGGCACCAGTGAAGTGAAAATTTATCTTTTGAAAACATAAAATTATCAATTTTTATCTGCATCTTCTTAATTTAACATTAAGACTATATGTTAAACCTGTAGGGCACTCACTGTGAGAGAATCCCAGCTCTCATCATGACTCCTTCAAGACATTCTGTTAAATGGTAAATGGACTGTACTTATATTGCGCTTTTCTATCTAATCAAGATACTCAAAGCGCTTTACACTACAATCTGTGTCCTCATTTACCCATTCATACAGCTCTATACTAGATCTCTACAAAGCTAATT